GTGAGTTGGACATCTGCCAAAGTATCTCACTTTTGTTGTATAAAATTCAAAAATAATAAAAAATATACCAATATGAAAAGCTTAAAAAAGTATATAGATCACTTTTTAATTATAAAAATTAATAGGCCATAATTTGTCAAATTATGGTTCATAACCAGATAAATTATGGACAAACTTGTTAAGTTATAGTTCATAACCAGACAAGTTATAGACAAAAATCGTGAATTATAGACAATAACTTGTCAAGTTATGGTTCATAACCAGACAAATTATGAATAAAAAAATTAATTTAACCTATTTATTAAGTCATATAAACTATTAATCTATTAATTTTAATTCATCTTAAATATTAACATATTTCACTCTTTCTCCTGTAAAATTTTACTTGGAAGAGGGGCCGATGCCCATTGTTTTGATTACTATGGCCCATCGAAACCGGAGATGGAAAGGTCAAAGGTCAACGCTAACACTCAATTGCATAGTATGTACATTATACACAAACAGCTCGAGCCAGTAATTATAAGTATATAATATTCATACACACTATATTATAGACACTTTTTCCCGGTGCTCTGTAAAGCTAAATAATTATAGATAAATTGGCCATCGGCGGGATCCTGTAATAATAACGATGTTTATTTCACTGATTTAAATTTTATTATAGTAAATAATTTTTAAAAATAGTTAAATTTAATTTTTTTTTATAATAAAAAATTTTCATATAAAATTACATTTTAACTCAAATTAAAAATTTAAATTAGTGAATTAAACATGCCTAATATATAAGTTTTATTTAGAAAAAAAAAAGAAAGAAAAGTCTAAAACTTCGGAAAAAGAAAACCATGGTTCATAACAAGTCAAATATTGCATAATATATGTTTAGGCTATGATTGGCTGGTAACTATGACTTCTCTCTTTGCGGCCCATCTAAGCGTGGTTGCCCACAAGCTTAATTATGAATGTGTCGGAATATCAGTGGATGTTTAGTTCATGTATTTAGAATTATTTTCATTTTATATGTATTTTTTATGAGAAAAAAATACTGTAAAGAATTATGAATCATGATTTTAAATCAGGGACGAATACATGAAACGAATATCCCTTACTCTTTCAAATATTCTAAATAGAGATAATTGCATTGAGTGAAAGTGCAAGATTATAAAATTCTTTGCTTAATCTTCTTCATATAGATTACAAACAAACAAAAAAAAAGGAATTTTAATAGAAGAAAATTCATAATGATGGTTGAATTAGGTCTCGTTCATTTTATTAATTCGAATTTAAAATTTAAATTTTATTATAGTAAAAAATTTTCATATTTAATTTTTTTATTACAATAAATTTTTTTTACATAAAATTACATCTTAATTTAAATTAAAAAAATTAAATTAATGAATTAAATGAGCTCTTAATTTACGTTGATGCAGTAGTGTCGTGGCTACTAGAGACGAGAGATTCTGTAACAGTCACGTCCAAGTGTTTGCTCACAGAAAAATATCAAAAAAATCCTGTTATTTTTTAAGGTTAAAAGAGGACAAACTTGAATCAGGTGAGACCAGTGCAAATTGGAGACTGACTTTTGCTTTTCACGTGGGTGGCTGTCAATGCGCATTTTAACTCCCACAACGGTTAGAATGATTAATATAAAAAATATAAAAATAAAATAAAATACACACACCCCAAAATCCGTAAAAATTAGAAAATAAAATAAAAAATATTAGCTGTTCAAATAGAGTGTTTTCGGCTATAATGAATGATCATGGTGGAATTTCTCTACAATTTTCCATTAATTAATCAATAAATCACAATTTACAAAAAATTGAAAAGAAAAGACCCAATATTGGTCATCATCAATTATTATTGTTCTTCTTCTTCCGCTGTGTTCTTGGTTTCCAATTACCTCTGCTTTCAAATTTCCAGAGCTAAAAATGATATAAATTCGTCTCCACTCCGATTCGAACCCGGGACGACTCGGTGGACAAACTCCCCCACCCATTTGCCATCTCCATTGCAGTCTTTCTTCGGAGCTTCATAACTTTATACACTGGCTGATCAACTCGGCTCAGTAACTCAGTACTTTCCAACACCCAACAATTATATAACCCCCAAAAAAATACAATAAAATAAAAAAAAAAACCCATCGACCTTGCCGTTTCACGGCAAAAGAGGGAACACCATTGGAGGGGGAGAGAGATTCTCTTGAGCGAGTTAACTCGGACTGAGTCACGCCGGGTCAGAATGAAAGCTCCACTTCTTTTAATTTTTTATTTTCGGAACATTATAATAATAACAAAATGCGGTTTAATTTACCAAATGGTTTTGTCGGACAAGCCATGAAGCAACGGTCGAGAGTCAGCCCAGAAATCAAGGTTACTCCTCCTGACGCCGACGTGGCAGTACCGTTGGAAGTCCTCGAGATTCAGGAATCGAGACGAGGAGTTTCCGGAATCGGATCGTGAGATGTAGCGGAGCACCTCCTCGAAGAGAGACTCGTCGCAGGGGATCACCAATGGCCCGTGGCTGTTTCCGAATCCGTACTCCTCCTCCGCTTGTACCAGAAGCTTCTTGAAGACGGGATGGTTAAGGTACGTCGCCCGCACCACAAATCTCCTGCAGCTGCTCCCCACGCACACCGCCACGTGTCCTGCCGGCACATCCGACGGTATGCGGTTCGCCGACTCCCGGGCCTTGTTGCGCCACCGCCGCAGCATCTGCCGAAGCCTCACAATGTGGCGGATCTTGCTGCATTTTGCGAATCCGTTCGACATTTTTTTTCTTTTTCTCGAGAAAGTGACGGAAAATGTGAGGGGAAATACTCTTTTGTTGTTTGTCTTTGTTGTGCAGGGATTGATTGATTGGAGTTTGGTGAGAGAATGTGAGTGGGAAATTGGGGGGTTTGAGTAAATGGGAGGGAGGCGGCCTTTATATGAATGGGGTTATGAAACTGCCCTAGGTTTTTTAGATAATTACGGGGCAGTGGTCTGCTGTTTTTGCACCAATTTTTAAGGGCTGTTTATTTATTTTATATATTTTAATATTCGTCTTTTTTTGGGGGTGCAGGGCTGTGATTTGCTGACTACTGGTGTAGATGGGAAGATATATGTTGAAAGATATTTATTCGTTCACTTCGCGGATTTAAGTTTTTAATTATGTGATATTTTATGAGAATTTTTAACTGTAGTAAAAAAAATTAGATGTGATATTTTTTAAAAATTTTTAACTATATAAACTTAAAATTAAAAACTCGAATCGGTGAAATAAACGAGACCATTGTACATAACAATAAATAATTTTAATAATAATGCGCCATTGATGATGCAAGGAATTAAGATAAATTACTTGAATGAGGATGTGGGTTATGCACATGAAAACCACAGGGGGAACTTAGTTTGGATAAATTATTTTGCATACATCTAAAGACAATTTTTTTCATTTCCTTTTTAAACATGTTTGAGCTTTTTAAACACGTGGGTTATATTAGGAGAAGTGCTTATTTTATGGTCAGATAAAAAAAGTACTTTTATGGAGAGAGAGAGAGAGAGAGAGAGAGAGAGAGAGAGAGAGAGAGAGAGAGAGAGAGAGAGAGAGAGAGAGAGAGAGAGAGAGAGAGAAAAAAAAAGTGTTTATAAGGAGAGAGAGAGAGAGAGAGAGAGAGAGAGAGAGAGAGAGAGAGAGTACAAAAATATTAATATTGTTGAGTAGACTGCAAACACTTGAAAGTGCAGATTTTACATAATCCCCAGCTTCCTCAAGGAAAAGATAGATTAGGAAGTGCAGATCTTCAATCATTAATTAATGAAAAAAAAAAGAAGAAGCCTGTTTGTTAGTGAAAAATGACTTGAAAGTGAAGCCTGGATTATATATTCAAAGTGGTTTGAATAGTTAATTTTGGTAACAGTGCTTTAGTTTCAGCAAAATGTACAATATCGAGCCTAAAATAAAATAGCAATATTTAGCTAGCTAGTATGTGTGCCATAGATTATTCGGAGAAACTCAAACACAAACTCACTAGAATTATACACAATCCAAACAATATTTAGCCTTTGTGAAGCAAACTAAGGCTGAGATTATATATACTTCATATTTATCAATTCAAGTGCAAGTCCGGAAAGAGAATGCTACTTACAAAACAAAATTAAGCGGCGGCCTTGCGGTATAAAATAAATTGATTGCTAAAAAACAACTGAAAGAGGATTTGTGGTGTTCGTGCGGTATGCCTTTTTTGCACACGAAGTTGAAAACTCATGAAACTCAGAACCCACCACACGCTCAAAGTTGGGTGAGAAAAATATAAAAAAAAAAAAACCTTTTGTTTCTCTATAAAAGTAGTTGAGAGATGCTCCTTTTTTATTTATTTAATTTACACTTTTTTTTTTATTGTCGTTATTATTTCTCACATTTAATTGGGACGAAAAAATATATATTTGAGCCCTTCCAAAGGCAACAACGATTTTGAACTCTCCAAACAGGGCCAAGCCCCATGTGCGAGGATTCCCCATCTTCCTCTTTTTTTAATGCCCAAAACAAACAGCCAAACCAAACTGTCTTCTCCTAATCACTTTCTTTCCCATATTTGAAGAGCATCATACCCACTTAATATTTATGTTTAATTTTTCTGATTAAAGCATGGAAGAGAGGCACGTGGCGGTAAACTGACCCTTACGATCAATCATTCTTCATTATCTCACCCATTAAGAAATCCAAGGTCTAAACTCATTACTAAAAGAAAATCTAGTTTGAAAATTTTGGTCAAGATGGGGCTTGGGCCAATGGGTCCACGTGCATGTTATGGGAGATGGGGTACATCCCCCCAAGCGTCACACTGGATATTAGTACCCCGCTTGTTAGGATTTAAGGATCATAGCATTTATTTTCAATGTTCAATGTTTTTTAACCAAACACATCTCTAATCAAATCTAGACATTATTTCAGAAAACGAAAGAAAACTTATTGCGCAACATAGGGAATTTCAATTATAAATCAAATTTCCAAGCACTATAATCTCCTTAATTTGTTTTCTTTTACAGTTTTAATTTCTTAGCTTTGTTGCTTACTGGGGACAAAAATTGTAGGAAGATTTGGAGAATATTTGCATGATTTAGGGAAGGGTAACTTCGACAATGTACACCACATTGATGATCAGTGTACCCAAGTTCTTTTTTTCTTTTCTTTTTTTTGGCCTTCCTAACGCCAAAGAGAAAAAAAAATCCTTGGTATCTTTTATCTACACTAGAACTTCGAGCAAGTAAAAGATCTCGTTTCTAAAATAAGAGAGAGAGTTAGAGAGAGTTAGAGAGAGAGTGAGAAGGTCTTTAGAGAGCAGAGGTTGGTCGGAGCTCTGACACCGTCTTTAAGCGCGTCGTCATACTCTTAGTCGTGAAATTTGGTCATCTGACTCGTCTCGTCGTGGGCTTCTCGTTGGTGGTAGTGGTGTACGGTGTGGTAGCTCCGTTTGGACAGATATGAACTGGTTAAGAGCTTAAAAGCTGAATAGATTATCTTCTTTCTCAATAGAGTTTTCCGCTTAGTGGCTGAGATCTCTTCACTGCCTGTGTTTCTCAATGGTCCTTTGGCCAAACGCCCTTCACTGGGGGTTTCTACTGGCGGTGGTCGAAGGTTTTTATCTTTTTGTAACTTTTGTGTTTGTATTAAGCTTGGTGGTTTCCCTACTCAACCTTCATCTGGTTTGTTATTTTTTTTTGTTAGATGTAGGTGTTCAACTTAATGCCGATAGGGTGGTCTTGGTCTGGTTGTAATTTTTCTGTGCCGTGTAGATGTCATCTTTCTACAGGTTTTGATAATCTGCTTCTCTAGTGCTCGACAACTTATGTTAAAGAGAGGCAGTCGAGCTTTCGACAACTTATGTTAAAGAGAGGCAGTCGAGCTTTCAGTCCACTCGTTATTAGTGTACCGAAATACTTTTTCATTTTCGGGACTCAGGCGTGCGTTTGTCCCTCTGATGTGTTAGCATTGTATCAAGACGATTATTTATTAGTATTTTAGTAAAATGTATTTTTTCCTTTAAAAAAATCTCGTTTCTCAAGATAAGGGTCATACACACTCCTACTGTATGTGATGATGTGGCACCATTTCTGTGGACGGGGTTCATGTTTTGCACAGTTATCTAAGGATATCGTTATCCCACGTCAGAGTTAGGTGGTGAAGTGGCAGAGCCTTTCTAGCCTTGGGAGGCATCCCCATTTGTCCAAGCGGAACTAGTGGTGTCAAACGTGTCGTGCCGGGCCGGCACGACATGTCTAACACCAGGCCCGTGACGGGCCTAGGCCGCGCCTGGCACGGCCCCGTGCCTGGGCCAGGCCTAAGGAGAAAAACTCAGACCCGATCCAAGCCCGTGGCCCTTGTCCATAAGGGCTAAGGCCAGGCCTGGGCCCAGGCCCTTCACGGGCCGGCCCAACAAATTGAATTTTTTTAAAATTTAATTAAAAAAGAAAATATATCATGTGCCCCCAAAAGATGTGATTTTATTGAATTGATATAATAGGAATAAGTACACATAAATGATTGCCTCGTTAAAAACCTTGCTAAGTAAAACCCGTGGGGAGATCGAGACAAAACTTTAGCGAAGGAAAAAAGAATGCAGTAGCTAGGAATAGTAAATTACAAACCTAAGTGGATCCAGAAGATTCTGTTATTTTTAAGTTAGAAAAATATTCTTGCGTTGAATCATCTGTGTATTATTGATTTCATCTTCTGGCATCTTCCCAGTCTTTAACGCACATTAGCCCCTCCAAGAGATCTGGATGCATTCTGCTTTTCTTCTCGTCAAGAATTTGATTGCTTGCGCTAAATGCTTGCTCTGATGCTACCGTTGACACTTGAGTTGTCAGACTGTCATGAGCTATTACAGATAGTGTTGGAAAACGATCAGTCTTGCTCTTCCACCACTGTAAGATGTCTAGTTTTTCATCATCGATTACAAAATTTGCTTCAAAATATTTTACTAGTTCGGTAGACACTTGTGTTGATGATGATCCTGTCGTTTTCTCTTGCTTCTTCAAGAAACTCCACGACAATCCTTTAGGCCATGAACTGCTAGTTGACGTCGAAGTTCCCTGTTCTTTTTGACCTATGTCGTATTTTGCTTCATACAAACTAAAAACCTTTTCTAACATTCTCTTAGCGTTAGTAATAGTTAGTTGCATATCTATTCCTAAATTTTCTGCGGTAGTAGTCATCAATTAGTCAGTTCCATCTACTCCGCACCTAGGATCTAAAATGGTTGCCAATGCATATAACATAGGACAATCTGACCAATAACTTTTAAATATATTTTCCATTAACTTAACTATGTTTCCAAAAAGTTATGTATCCCTATAATAAGAAAATGTTTATGAAATATTAAATAGTTGATGTAAAGCTAAATGTGCAGTAGGATAATAAACTCCAGAAAGTAATTCAGTAGGATTGTAAAAAAGTTCTAGAAATTTAAAAAAATACTCACCAATCTGTCAATCTATATAAAAAATTAAAAGTTGATCGTTCTTACTATTTACGTACGTTGTGATAAGCTGCGAATAGGGGAGTGCTGCCTTCAACATTAAATAGGTGGAATTTCCATTATTGTACTAAAAATAGATGACGCGTTATGAGGATATGGACATAAACGAAAACTAATTATTCTTTTTTGTAAAACCCATTCGTCATCAACATAATGAGCCGTGACACATAAATATCAAGTTTTATTGCACCCCTCCCATAGATCAGAAGTGCAAGGGACAGTAGCATTAAAAGTCCTAAAATTATCAGCAAGATATTGTCTCATTGCGTAAAATACTTTCATGCAATCAGAATGAGTTGTGTTTCTATTTACCCATTTAAAGTGTGGGCAGAAGGCCGTCTGGATGAACTCTTCAA